TGATGTAAAATATTGCTGTGGTGTTGTCTGTCATCACCATGACACACTTGTCCTGCAGATGAGGCAGGGATGCCTGGCAAACAAGCCTGACCACCCTGAGTTGCTGGACATGAAAGACTATAGGCCTTGGGTTCATGAATTAGTTAGGTGGATCTTCTACCCCATGTCCAAAGCATCTGTCACCAGACTAATCTTTCTCTACAGGCCCATGAACTTGCATACTATATCTGTGGCTCAATTCACCAGGCAAGGAATCGCAGGGTCACCAGAGGTTGAGGGGGTCCCAGCAGGGCTTAAGCAGCGATGTCAACCATGCTTGGAGTGGGCAAAGGTGCAGGAGTCCATGTGTCCAAGACGACACATGCACTTGTGCACCGTCATGGGTGGACATTGCTGCAATGTGAACACGAGGTCCGCAATGACCTAAACCGAGACACAGGCAGGGAAGCTGTTGCCCAGACAGTCGAGAAGGGCCCCAATACACTTGATGCTTTGTGCGGGAACAAGAGTGGAATTCAGCATGTGGAAGATAAGGCCCATGTAGCACAACATGGCCTTCACCAGTTTCAAGGGGTCTGAGCAACTGCTCTTGATCAACCAGTCATCCAGTTATGGGAAGACCTGCACGTACTTTCTGTGTAGGAATGCAGCCACCACCATCATGCACTTTGTAAATACCTGAGGTGCTGTGGCTTGGCCGAAGGGCAGCACGGAGCACTGGTAATGACAGTGCACCACCACAAAACATGGAGGAAGCATCTTAGTGGTTGTCTGAATCAACTTAATCAGAGGCAGGGTCACCCTTGCCTGACCCTTGGGCAAAAGAACATCCCCGATAGGGTCAGATTCCTCAGCTACCTTCTCTGCCAGGAAATGGAGACCTTGGGCCACATACCTGAGCAAGTCCTGATGGGATCTAGAGTCCACAGAGTGAAGCGATAGGGTGGTATCCGTTCTGGCTTCATCCGGTGACAATGAAGAAGAGGGCCACCAGGGGAACAAAGTCATCCTGGTCCACCTCTTCTGCTCAGAGGGGATCAGGAAGAGAAAGCATTGGTTGTGCCACCACCGGAGCCAGTTCCTCCTACCCCTTAGGGTTCTGCATGGGCAGTGGGGCTGGGGCCACCAACGAAGCAGAGAGTAGCACCTGAGTCAAAGGTGCCACCAAGGTAGCCCAACAGGGCAATTGCTGGCCCTGGCAATATGCCCACAAGGTCCAATAGGGCAACTAAATGAGTACCTGCCATTGTGGAAGCCAGGATTGCAAAGGTGCCTCTGGGTATCAGTGCCGGGAATGGGAGCAATACCATGTGCCGGGAATGGGAGCAATACCATGAGCTCCTGGACACAAGGGACTCTGCCTCTGACTTTAAAGTGTACTCTAATGCTGACCATGAAGGGGCTGATCCAGACAGTGCAGCAGATCAGTAACTACATAAGCAGACATGGATGCTCATGGCAGTAGGCTTCCCCCCCGTGCCAAAGAGAATGCTGGTGCCAGGGCAGGTGGTGGAACCTTAGTCTGTGCTTCAGGCAGAGCAGCTGATACTGTGCTCAGTGCAAGGTAGGGCCTGTGCATTTGTGCACTGACACTAATGATGCTGTGAACAGGATGCAGATAGTAGTGCCATCGATGCCATCGAGATGAGTGCTGTTGAGGGAAGATGTTCCACCTTGAACGGTGCCATCACCATTAGTTCAGTGAGGTCCCAAATGGCCTCAAATGTATCCGGCTTGGAGTGAAGGTCCAAGTCCTCCTTCACTACCATTGGTACCGGAGAGTCCACTAACACTGGACTTTGGGGCCTTACTAGACCTCCTGGAGGGGTATCATCCCCTGTCCATCCTTCTCTTCTTCTGCAGAACCAGAGAATGGGACCAGAGTGGGGAACGGTGCCAATAATACTTTTCAGAGCTTACTGAGGCCAGTGCGCTGTGCCTGTGCACAGATGGCAGAGTCAGATTCGCGAACAACCTTAACTCTGCACCTTGATTCCCACCATGCTACCAGAAACTCTCTTATACAGGCTATAGATATAAATCAAGTATGGACTATACACTCTTAAATCACTAAGGAGATAACAGGAGAGGGATCATGTGGTGATTACCTGTTGTGTTCCCTCCCTCTGGGGCATCTGGTATTGGCCACTGTTGGCAGACAGGATACTGGGCTAAATGGACCTTTGATCTAACCCAGTATGGCCATTCTTATGTTCACTATTAATCCACACATATAGCTCTCACAACCATCCTCTACTTCACCACCTTTTAGCCAGAAATCCCAACATCCTCTCTCTTAGCCTCTATATAAGGAAGAGAGAATCCAACCTCCTCAAGCTAATAGCCTCACTGTGATCAAGAGACACACATCTCCCATTCTTACACTATTCCAAAGCCAAAAATGTTTTGCCCTGCCTACCGCCCTACTCATATTCTTATTCCAAATTAAATTATAGACTCCACCTTCCGAACACAGGATACATTCAATTCAATAGAGGCTGGAGATGGCAAAAAAAGAGTTCAGATCATGCCAATAATTCTACTGTCCACGATAAAGAAGAAGAGGAGACAGCATGTCTGGGGAGTGTAATACCAGTATTATGGTTATTATGATATGCCTGTCAAATGGATATTAGACAGCTTTTCAGGGGATGAGGTTGTTCCATGAATACACAATGATTTTATACACTATACTTAAAGTTATTTATTTGTATTTAAATACCTATCTGTATGCTGACCTATCCATTTTCATATTTGTAAATGCTCAGTCTTGAAGAAGAGAATTGCTTGTTTTGAAAATTTAACTGCAAGGTTTCTTTTTATAAATACAATAGCAATCTTGATTTAAATTATTAAGAGTGTATATTTATTTCCTTATTTAAAGAATTCAAGGCCAGTAGACATTTTAAGAATGTCATTTAAAAACCGTGTTTCAAGCTTGCCAAAAAATCCTATTATGTTCTGAAAGTACTCACAAAAATACTATTCCTGTGCAAACTTTTAAAAGGACATGAATTCAAGTTAAAACTACCAATATTAGAGAGAAAGCTGCTACTAAGCAACTTCTAAACTACCGTTTGGTTTTAGGAAGGTGTTAGACTGATTGCCATATCCAGGGCCAGATTAACTCACTACTGGGGCCTGGCCCAGGCAAACAAACTGCTCCTAGCCTGCTGTGGAGGGGAGGTCAAGTGGGGGAGAAGGACAGGAAAGGAGAGACGAGAACAAGCTCACCCTATATTCTGCCTGGAGCAGTGGCTCCTATTCCATGGGATGGGCCTGGCTCTCCACTATGGTCATTTATAGCCATTTAAGTAAAAATGGAGCCTTAGTGTGTAATACAATAACATTCCTCAGCGTATCATCAGCCACCTTTCTGCCTAACAGAAAGGAAAGGCCTAGCGCCGTTGACAAAGATGTACCAGACAGGCTGTTTGTGTCCATGTGATGGATGGGAGGGTACTACCCTTTTCTAGACATCCCAGCCACTTAACTAAATTGCTTGTAAAGGGTTAAACCCAGAAACAGTGGATTCCTGAGACTCTCCAGGAAGTGTTGGCAGGGTCTGCCTGCTTCAGTCTTGTGTGTGACCAGAGCAAGATCTAGGAGTTAACCAGGAACCAGGCATGAATTTTCCAGTGATATCCGTCCCTAAAAGGACTTAACCTTGGAATATCAGATATGCAAGCAAACAGGGAAATATTTAGTTAGATGCGATCAAATAAATTGAATCCCAGGGAAACGATTGCCTGTGCTTTTAATTAGAGATGTTAAAATGTGTTTAAGTAACCGCGTAACCACTGAAAATGTCAGTGGTTACATGAGGGTAGAAGGGGACAGGGGAAGCCAGCTTACCGCATGCACTGGCTCCCATCTGCCCTCTCCTGTGCTGCTGCCTCTGATACAGAGGCAACAGCATGGGGTGCTAGGAAGCTCCCCGAAAGCCAGTATGCGTATAATGTGCCTACCTGGAGCCTGTGTATAACCGTGTATATGGATACACTTCCACATCCCCACTTTTAATCTGCCTTTTTTCAGTTGCTCTGTAACAACCAGCAACCAAGCATGCTTTACCAAATTTATTTTCTTGGCTTTCTTAATAAAATCACCTTTTTAAGATTATGATCTGCTTAATGTGTCCTAGAAGGAAGGAGGTTCTATATCGGGGAGGGCAATCATTTCAGACACGGGGGTCACTTCACTAATTTTTGAAGTGGTCCTGGGCTGCGCTGGGAGGAATGGGGCTGCAGGTAGAAGGGGCAGCTCCAGGACTCTTCCTGCTCCCCCGCCCACAGACCCTGATTGGCCTGGGGGTGGGGAAGCATGTAAAGTCTGTCTCCCCCCCACCCAGAGCGAACTTCCAGCTGTTCTGAACAGCTGGCTGTTTTCTCTAGGCACCTGTGCCCCTGGCAGTGGGACGAGATTTCACATGCTCCTCCCACCCTCAGGTCAATCAGGGCCTGCGGGTGGGAGGAGCACAGGAAGTCTCTCACTCCCTGCTCCCACCTTGCATGGGGCACATGGCACTTAGAGTAAACTGCCACCTAGTGGTCCACTCTAAGTGCCATGCACTGCTAATAGTGGCAGCAGCATCCACAGGCCAGATCCACCCGCTTGGTACGCCAGACCTGGTCCATGGATGCCCCTTTTCCCACCCCTGTTCTATGTGCACATGCCTGAGACTGAAAAGTCAATTATTAAGAAGTTACAGTTTATTGTCAAGCTCTCTCTTGAGGAAGGGTTAAAAATCTTATAATTTGAGACCTAGGTGAAGTGGCCACAGCACTGCTCAGGTTTTGCACAGCTGCCCCAACATCATGGGAAGAGAGGGTCAGGGACATCTGGGTCAAGCTTGGGTGCTGCTACGATGTGGGCCAGCCCTGGGCCTCCTCTCCACATCAGCTAGGATGAAGGTTGTGGAGCGTATGCTACAAAGTACTGTAGGTCTTGAACTGTTTTGTTCATAACTTGAGCAAACACTGCATAACAATTATAAATACCTTGTTGCTCTTCCTCTTCCTCCTCTTCACTAGATGAAGCCAAATAAGCTTGAAAATCCATGTCAAGAAGCTCATCTTTATTAAAATTTCTTTGTAGCGAAGCTACTCTTTCATGATCTGTCTCATCCCATGTGATATCTACCTTTAGAAAAAAGATAACATGAAATGCAAAAGTTACAGCTTAAGTTTTTGTCCAGTGCGCCATTTGTGGTACTACCTATTGAAAGTATAGCCAGATAAAACAACTAAAAAGAAAAAAAAAAGTCAATAGGTACCACTGAAATTTCATTTCGAAGGCCACCACCTTTTAGGGAACAAGATTTTATGTATTTGAGAACCAGCCATAACTAAGGAGTTGCTATTTAGCATCTCCTTAAAATAAAGTGAATACAATCAATAGCAACTTGCTTATTTTTTTCTAATGTAACTTACGTGTAATATTTAGCTTCTTCTCTATAAGCCCAAGATTTCAATGAGATTTAGCTATATGGATAGTCTGAAAAGGCTGTGATTACATTAATAAGATGATTTGAGATAAAAAAAAAGTATGTGTTTCTTAAAGTCCCAGGTTAGTCCAATTAACATTTTCTTTTAAATTATCAAATTTCATTCTCTTCTCAAACTGTAAATGGGGTAGATATAAGGATGACAGCAGTATTCTTCATTTGTAAGTGAAAAAGTGAATTGTGCCTGCAAAAGCTCATGATACCATCTACATATTTTGCTAGTCTTTAAAGGTGCTACTAGACTATTGGTTAAGTTTTTTCGTGTTACAGATTAACTCAGCTACCCCTCTGAAGAGTTTAAAGAGTGAAACTCAGTCTTAACTATAGGCACAACCTATGCCTCTGTAACATACACTTGCAATATCTATTTGACATCTACATCTCTAAAATCGTGAGAATATACAGGGATCCTTTCTCCACTACAGGTTGTACATCCCATAACCAGGACTTTCTGGTCCAGCAACATGGACCACTGATGTTCCTGGACCACTTAGGTCAGGTATAGCGAAGTTGGGCAGTAGGGCAGGAGAGGATGGAGGTGACCCAGCAACTCAGCTGGGAACCCCATGTTGCAGAGGGGGCACAGAGGGGCGAGCAGCGCAGCAGGGAGTTCTGGCCCCTGTAGCTGAGTGGTAGCAGAAAGCTAGCAGTGGACACAGCGCCCCGGCCCCAGAGCCATGGTGCATCAGCCTGGGGATCCATGGCCAGGCAGGCAGCAATGGGGGCGAGCTGGAGCCCTAGCTGGGGGCAGCACGGGCTATGTTGGGAAGGAGCTCCCTAGTCCAGCAAATCCCCTCTTATGGGACCGGTCAGGTCCCAAGGGTGCTGGACGAGGGAGGTCCAATCTGTATCACCAGTGCCACCAATTTTTTGTTTACATCTCTTACGTAAACCAAGAAAAACAAAGCTAAACAAATTGTGAAGGGTTACAAAAAACACTGTTAAGATACCTTTGATGTTCCCATAGCAGCAGATGTGAAGTACTTTGGTTTATATGCAGCTCCATCCACTTCTGAGGCTACGTCCTTTGGCTCATCATCAAATACAATACCATCTGGAATAAATCTTGAAGGCAAGAAGATGTCTTGTTATTTAAACACATATTGTGATGTTTCAAAAGAACAAACAAATAGAATCAGCTTCTCTCTAATTAAAACCTTGCACATTAATACGAAAGAATTTACTAGGCTAAGAAGTGGATAAGCCCAAAGAGAGAAACGCACATGAAAAGAGTAAAAATCATATCACACAACTTAATATTTGTGGTTCGCACTGTACATAAAGTATCTACAACCTCTATATTTCATAAAATGTTGTGAAAAAGTTAAGTATTTTTTATAAAATAAATACAATTTAAGAAGTTAAATTGATTGCCCAGTTTAATATTTAGTGCTTTGCATATGGTCAGTATAGACATGCAATGCTTCCAACTGAAATGATTTGTATGTACATTATAAATCCTTCAAACAGCATAGATGAGACACATTAGAATGAATGTATTTTTTATTGGCCCAGAGAATCTTACATGGGCAAACAACACTGATTAAAAATACCAAGATATATCAAGCACAAGTGGGATTACAAAAACAACACTAAATATGTTACTGGACATACTTATGTGTTTCCTGGAAGATCAAGACACGAATATGTACATCATAACATTTAATGAGATAAAAAAATCTCTCAATTTTGCTTCTTAATTCTTATTTTCTGAGCACACCATTTTGAAGAAGAGAAAAAAAACCATCTTTATAAAAACAAACCTCACTTTTCTAAGCACTATTTGCTCTTTCAGGATGTAGCTAGTACAACAGTTCTGATTACTTTCAGTATTGTCACAAACTAGGAAAGAAAAAAATATTCTGAAGACAACTGAAAAACAAGTGGAAGTTAATAGGAAGCTGTGAAATCCTAAAAGGTTATTATCTTACAAATCAAAATCTGTCCGAAAATTGTTTAAATACTATTTTACAGATGCTTACAACTACAGAAGTTGACTGAACTTGGTGAACAGACAATTTTGTTGTTTCCCATGTTGTATAGGTCTGTAAGGAGCAACATTGTTTAAAAGTAGAAAAACATTGTTATAAAGACATAACTATTAGCTGTGGGACATCCTGTGTATTTGTAGGGCCTGAAATTATTTAATCTCATTTTAAAATGCCGAGTAGGTTTCAAGTAGGGACGTAAGCAAATAGTCAAGCAGTCGATGACCCAATAAGCCTAGGCTTATTGGGTAGTTGAGTAGACTACTCACATATTCCTCCTGCTTGCTGCCTCTGCATTTTAAATGTAGTAAGAACTACCCAGGGTGGGCAGGCAGCCTGGCTCCTACTACACTTAAACTGCAGAGTCGCAGCAGGGGTACGTCCTGGACCTGGTGCAAGCCGAAACTGAGCCAGGTTACCTGCCCGTCTGGCTCTTACTATATTTAAATTGCAGTGGGGGTAGGTCCTGGACCCAGCACAAGCCAGGACAGAGCTGGGCTGCCTGTCAACCTGGCTACTAGTACATTTTACATGCAGAGCTGCAGCAGGAGTAGGTCTCCAAGCAGATGGATCTGGCCCGCAGCCACCCTGACACTCCCTCACCCCCAGTCCAATCGAGCACACAAAATCTCCCCTTCCCCGACCAGGGGCACACGGCATCAGAGAAAACCTTCAGCTATTTTAAAACAGCCAACAGTTCTCTCTAGCTGCCACGCTCCCCTGGCAAGGCAGGGGTAGGGGGGTGAGAAACTTTGTGCACTTCCCCACCCCCAGGCCAATCAGAGTTTGTCCTGCCCCTGCCGCTCCCAGGGCAGAGCAGGGCCACTTAGAAATTTGTGAAGTGACCTCCTTTTAAAAATTGACCCACCCCGGTCAATAGCATTAACAGATAAGCTAATTGACTACTCTATTATATCCCTATTTCCGACACATGCAATTTTAAGCACTCAGCAAAACTGGGATCTAACAAGATATGATTTTTATTGACAATGTTATAGCAGAACGCTTTTTTGTGCAAACAAAGGAATAGTATAATACAGGGGTGGGGAACCTTAGGCCGGAGGCCAAATGCTGTCCCAGCTTGCCTAAATCCGCCCCCCCCCCCAAGGCTCAGGGCTCCCCCTCAGCATTGGGGAGCCCCTTGCTAGTGCTCCAGCCCTCCTGCTGCCCCATTGTAGGGCTGGAGAACCCAAAGTCTAACAGTCTGAGCCCCACCCCACCCCCAGACTCTGGTGTGTGAGGGGAACGTGGGGGAGTGTCTTTCTGCTTCTCAGTCAGGGGCCATGTCAGTGAGGTGTTGGGTTTTTTTGTTTTGCTTCTCACTTTTCTGTGGTCCTCGACTGATTTTTCTGTGGGTCAGCGGCACCTAACACAAAAAAGGTTCCCCAGCCCTGGTCTAGTGACAAAGCAGTACTGTAATTTAGCTTCCTGCCTTCTTAAGAAACATGGTTTTAAGTGAGCAAGCTTTCTGATTTTGTATCACAAAGCCTGAGCAAAATTATGAAGATAAGAGCAGCTATACATTTGTCCCTCAAAACTGTAATAAAAGAACTAGTTCACTTTGTGCCTCAGGTGAAGGAAATAGACAGCAGCAGTGGTTTTTTTCTATTAATGTGCTACTGCTTTATTTGACTATAGAAGATGACTGAAAAAGCTGATGTAGTAATATTTGTCTCTTGAACCCCTTTAAAAACAGTCTCTTTAGGGTGGGAGTTTTCCATACAAGCTTTCTACTTGCTAGTAAAATTCCCCTTCGCTTTTTCTGACAAACCCAGATATAAACCAAAACACGCTTTATTTTCAAAGTTCTATACAGTTTTGATAAACATTTAATAAGAATGAAGCTTACTTCCGATTTTTAAAACTTCAATTTTTTGTTAAAAGACACCATGTACTGTACCTGAGATCTACAAAAGAACAGCTACTTTCAAATTCCAGACCATCACACTCCTCATAAATTTTATTGGCTGTTTCAGGAGAATCACATTCTACCACTGCATAGAAGTATTTCAGTCGTTTGAACTGATAATCCCTCAATTTTTCTCTGCAAATCCTACAAAAGTGAAAGATATCCAAATAACTTTTGTTAAAACAATGAAATAAAGTTGCATCTTGAGAAATTCTTTGCAAACTTAACTTTTTAAAACTATGTATTACTTTGCAAAAGGATCAGATCTTCTTCCTACATCGAGTTGTACTAATTTCTATGGGACTCTGCACAGATATACATAAACGTTTAACTGCATGAATGCCATTCCACAACTGGAACCACAATCAGGATTTGTGTTGAAGAAACATTTTTCTTAATGCTGATTAGTTAATATGTGAAAGGACTAAGCCTCTTCTTTATAATGTAGGTACAAATTTTGGTATCAAAAAAGTCTTTTCTTGTGCTTGTTTGAGAATCAAGTTTTAAAGAGGTATGCTGTGCATTAACTACTCCAATCTTCTTTTCGGTTTACTATTGTAGTCCCCTTACTAAAGGGGCCTCTGTTTTTTTTCCTGGAAAGACCCTGTGCTGCAATCCAGACTACAATTCCCATGAGCCCTTGGATAAAACAGGAAGAAAGGACTCTTGTGTGAGAGAGGACTGCTCTCTCTCTCTCCGTGTGCTTGAAGAAAGAGGCCTAGCAGTCTGGAACTCTGCCTTGGAGTTTGGAACCAAAGGGGGAGCCAGGCTGCTGCCAAGGACATTGACCCAGTGCAGGGGCTGTTGGAGTGTAGCTACTAGATGCCTGTTGGAACTGGGATTTAGCAGGCTGCTTCTGATAGGCACAGCATGAGGCAATACGTTTCTGGGCCTTGTTGGAAAAGTGCTGCCTGGGACAGAGCTGCTGTTTAGCCTAGACCAAATCTCCACAACAGCTGCAACATCAGCGCGCCAACACAAGCAAGTCTGGGTCTGAGTCTAGGGGTGTGCACACTCTGGGGTGGGGTCACTATTAGTACAAATGGTAGCTATATAAACTTCAATTATTGTTATGTGTTTTGTTAATGCTATTCATTGCTAATTCTGTTAATCCCGGTTTATTTAAGTTAAGTAAAGATTGTTTATTTTAAAGTATTCTATTAGATGTATAGGATTTGTAGTTGTTGTTTTGGATCCATATTATAGCTGGAATGACTATGTTCCTTGAGGCTCTCAAGGCACACCAGTGAGTGTGTACAAGGCCAGCCAGGTGGAGGCCCCGCGGGTGCTCAGGCTCTCTTTTAGGTTAAACATCAGGCGCCCAAGCACACCTGTGAGTGTGACCTGCTCCCGAGTAACCCAGGGAGGAAAAAGGGGGTTACACTATATTTATCCAAGATAGTTAAATATGAATTTTAAATGGCTAATCTGGGAAAATTCTCCAGTTCATAAAGAAGTGCACTTTCAATTTAATTGCATCCCATTTCTGTAACTCAGTCAATTAGGATTTTACCCACTGGTATGGGATATCACCATCTAGTGGTGAAAAGTAACTCACATAGTCCCAGTACATATTCCAGTCATCCTTTACTCAAAATGAGCTGTTTGCCTAAACAAATCTTTGTTTACAGATCTTGACATGCACTATGTATCAAAAATCTTTGTTTACAGATCTTGACATGCACTATTGTATCAAAAAACAACATTATTTTATGGTATCTTCACAAAATTATCGTCACCAAATTTTTTAGCTATTTACTAAGTCACTAGAAAAATACAGCACTTCATTAAATACTACAGTATAGCTCTGTAAGATACTGAATGTTTTCTGTTAAACGCTAAGTCTGCAAAGTGGAAACATGTCAAAACAGTCTTTTTGATCAGTTTTACTTTGACCTAGCATGTAAAGATTAAAAGGTAGATTGAAATTTTGCTAAGCTATTCTCAAACGCTGTAAGGTGATCCATGCAGGTGAACCTCTGTCTGCTCAAGTGGATTTCCATTGCCTTCACGGAACAATTTGCACAACTAGGGCCTTAAGCTTTATATCCCAACAAATGTATTCAAGTATATAATGTTATGAGGAGCCAGATTCAACCAAAAACACCCTTTGAAAAATTAGTAAAGGGGAGAAATGTTAAGAAAAGGTAAAATATAAGACTTCTATATAACATTTAAGATGCATTAAGAGCCTCGTATTTTCAAATAAGGCCTGCTACTATCAACCATTGAAATTTAAATCAATACCAATCTTTCTCTGCTGCATCCTCTGGAATACTTAATAGTTCTACAGGCCCTTGCTGCTCCTCCTCTTTCAATCTCTTCTTTCCAAACTCTGAAGGATAAATCTACAAATATACAAAATAAATACAGGTTATAAACCAATTCCACAGTTGCAGTGTAGAGCATCCAAAGGGGAAAAAAATATATGAATCTAGGAGTTGAGAACATCACTTTTTCAGTGAGAAAACAACATTAAAAAGGATCCAATCCTGTAAACATTTACACATGTGCTTAAAAATTAAGCACACAACTAGTTCCAGTTATGGAAATGGATAGGACACCACTCAGTTTCAGGGATCTAACCACACACAGTGCAGCGTGCAGGACTGGTGTCATGTTGTGTTTAAAAAAAAATTGACTCAATTCATTTGTAATTTCAAGTTTAGAATAAAGAACTTTCATGTTTAGCAGTAGATTGAGTGCCAGATTGAAGGCTCAGTATGACGAAGGTAAGCAACTGTATAAATGTTCAGATTACTCTGATGTACAAATACATTATAGATTATATGTATGATAACAGAATAATGTTCAGCACTGAAATAATTGAAGTGACAATCAACTTGGAATCAGTTGCCAAAAAATAAAAACTATCAAACTGTTTCAGTTACTGTACTTGATCTCAATTCCCCCTTAACTGTGTTACTGTTTAAGGACCTACCCATCAGAATTGATCTATTCAGGCAAAATTTTATACCGGAGCAGGGAACCTTCTTTTGGTTTAGAGGCCATTGACTCACACAAAAAGTCAGTCAGGGGGCCTGTAGTAAGGTGGAGTGGCCACTCACTGACCTGGAGGGGAAAGAGCCCTTTTGTGAGCCCGGACAGACTACAGGGCCACACACACAAGTGAGAAGCAAAAAAAAAGACACCCACCCCACCCCCCACTGACACGGCCCCGACTGAGGAGAAAGATACTCCCCATGTTCCCCTCCCCCATACCAGAGCCTAAGAGGGCGCAGCCTTGTAGTTTTTGTGTGTTCCAGCCCTGCGGTGAGGTAGCAGGGGGGGCTGGAGTGCCAGTGCCCTGAGCCTCAGGGGCCAGATCCAGACAAGCCGGATGCCACATCCAGCCACCAAGCCCGAGGTTCTCCAATTCTGCTTTATATCCTCATACAGAACCTTTCACAGAAATTAATCAGACGCCACTCAGGTTCAGGGATCTAACCTCACAGCTCAGACTGAAGGACTGGGGCCATATTGTGTTTGTCTGCCTTAAAAGGTCACAGATCCTAAACTGCCTTTTTGTTGGTTATTTCTCAAAGACCCCTCAAGCAGATAAATTAACTGAGAAGAGGCCAGAAAATCCCTCTCTCCCTCTTGGACAAGATGTAATATAACAGAAACCTGGGACCGGACCGGAGGGAGTAAAGCCTCCCGCAGATCCAAAGGGATCTTCCAAGGAACATCATGTCGAGTCTCTCTGCAAAATCAAAAGTAATCTACACCACACTTGCACCCTGCCTCCAAACTGCCAGCATGAATGTGATGTGTGTGTGTGAGTATCACTTTACTCTTAAGAATCTATGTTAATAAACAACCCCAAAAGCAACACTGCTCCAGCCCACCCTTTGTCCGGGTTTGTTCCTCAAAAAGTCTGACGAAATGCAATACACATAGGGCTTGATCAGCCTATCATGCCACATAAATATCCACTAATAGATGGGAGATTAGGGCCCTTCTAAATTCATGGCATAAAAATGCAGCATGGGCCATTAAATCTGGTCTTGTGTGTACTTTTATTCTATGCAGATTTCATGGGAGAGTCCACCATATCCAAATTGGGGATTCTAACCCAAAAGGGAGCTTTAGAGAAGAGACACATGGTTATTTTAGAATGGTCACAGTATTGCCACCCTCATTTCTGTGCTGCCTTCAGAGCTGGGTGGCTAGAGAGAGGGAGCTGCTGGCCAGGTGCTCAACCCTGAAAGTAGCACCCCACTAACAGCACCATCCTTACTTCTCCATTGCTGTCTTTAGAACTGGACAGTCAGAGAGCGGTGGCTGCTGCAGTCCAAGGGTCCAGTTCTGCAGGCAGCAACGCAGAAATAAGGGTGGTAATGCCATGCCATATGCCCTTACTTCTGTGCTGCTGCTGGCAGCACGTCTGCTTACACAGTTGGGCTCCCAAACAGCAACCACTGCTGTCCAGCTGCCCAGCTCTGAAGTCAGTGCTGCCATCAGCAGCAATGCAGAAGTAAAGACAGCTGTAGTACAACCCCCTATAATTGTAGACAACAGAATTTTATGTTTTATGTAATGTTCTTAATGGATAGTCTAAGAATAAACGTTAAACAGTTCTACTGGCTGCCCTTCTCTGGTTAGCAGGGAAGAACTATCTTTTAGGCCCTTAATAAAGATCCATCAAGCAGATTGCTTGTGTCTGTATCTGACATCAAAGCAGAAAGAAATCAGAAGGATCCTTGTGATTAAGCATAACACTGCGGCTCTTAGGAGTAATTATAAAACAGATTGTTATGAAAAAATAGGATGAATGATTAAAAGTTTGTACTAAAAAACTTTATTGGAAATTGATACCTTTTGTGTATAGGCAAATGTATCCCTTTTCTCATGTGATATTTGGATAGTTCCTGGGGAGGGGGAGTGAATAAGTTTGGAACATGTTTGGAAAGATAACTTGTAGGCTCAGCAGTTTCAGAGTTAAGATGGTTGAAGAAGGGGGAGAAGAAGCCATAAGACTCAGAGGAGTCAAGTAACAATCAATTGGGCCCAAAACAAAGCAGACCAGTGCAGGACATATAGATGGCCTTGGAATTAAGAGTAAGCACCTCTTTACAGATAAACACTTGGAAGGAGGAACCAACATACTGATGTCAGTGTAAAGAAGAATAACTCCCAGATAAATGGTTGTTAAACAGAACTGATGGTGATTGATTAAGCGCTGACACAGCAAAATGTATAGACCTGAATGGGAGAAAAGTCTTTTAAAAGATGTGGTGTCTTGCAGCAATCTCCTGGTCTCGTCAAGATGGGAGCGTTGGTTCAGACAGAAAGAAGCCACTGCATTTATGTTGCCTTGTCAGTGACTTAGACTGAGCAACAGACTGGTAACTTTAAGCAGTGAGAACACTGGGCGGGGGGGAGGGATGTAGAATGTTACATTGTCAATAAATGTGGCATTTTGCTTTAACCCCCTAAAAAATCCTGTGAAATTATTTCAATTGTAACACAACGTTGTGAGCTCCAACAATTCCTTTTCAGGTCATGACCCTTAAAAATACAATACGCAGATTTAAATAGCTGAAATAATGAAATTTCTAACTTTTAAAATCCAGGACTAGATATAGCCTATATTTATTTTATAAAAAAAACAATACAAATCAATTGAATAGAGAGAGGAGAAAGGAAATCAGCAAAAGGAACCAGGAAGAAAAATAATCTTGCGGAAACAAAATACACTTATTTTTAGTTTTAAAGAATTCTTACCTTTACAGAAAATATAACACCTCCTTTAGGTATGAAAGAATTAAACAGAGCCAGTAGGTCTTTAGCCTTTAGCCTATCCCAGTCCATATTGCAAACTGCCAATCTACTTGTGATCTGCATAGAAAAAGGCAAAAAAATATTAATTTAACAAGATTTTGATTGCTGAGCAGAAAATCTTATTTTCAAGTTACTGTCCTTTGATGAAGTCACAGTATGTGCTGAACTTTAGAGAAAGCCATAAGAATAACATCTCCCACATCACTTTCTATCGCTGATGGTTCTATCACTACCATGGTTCTTAAGTGGTGGCTACCTAGCAAACAGAAATGTTCAATAAATAGGCTTCACTATTTTTTCAAACAGATAACGTACTGTACGATGGCTCTCTATATTTCACTTTCCTAGAGTTCACCTACTGTTCTAGGCAACAGAACTATGGACAATTTTTTACAGCTGTGAATAAGAAGCAGTAGTTTTTTAAATTTTTCTAGTTTAAAACTTGTGTTTTTACTTTCCCAGAGAACTTCTGCAGACCTAAAAAGAACTAGGTCCCTTCCTGACAGAAGTTGACAGCAATAGGTCCCCCTGAAACAATGTTGGAAAAAAGTTTAACTGCTACTGCTGAATAGACAAAATTGTATTCAGCTCCATTACAGAAAAATGACTTCCCGTTTGATCAGCAGCAGAGGCACCAAGACTGTCTCTCTGTATTTGACAACAATACTAAAAAACAAACTTGAAAGGCTACTTCTGGAACCATCACTTCTTAAAAACTAAAACCTAAAGATCTGGTAAATGGCCTAGAATTGTGGCTCTCAACCTTTTGAGACCACTTTGCCCCTGTCAGGAGGAGTCTGATTTGTCTCATATACCCCCAAGTAACATCTCACTTAAAAACTACTTGCTTTACTCAATCAGACATGAAATACAAAATAGTCACAGCACATTGTTACTGCAAAAGTGCTTACTCTCATTTTTATTGATGTGAAATTTTAGTTTGTACTGACCTCACTAATAATGAGGAATCCTGTGGATCCCAAAGATTCACAGATTTATTTGGGCATAGCATTCATGGGTCAAAACAAGTTTGTCAGCTGCATCTGACAAAATGGTTTTGACCCATAAAGGCTTATGCTGAAATTAGGGATGTAAAATCCCCTTTTATTAGTTAACTGTTTAAACTTTATGCTTAACTGATTCCATGGGTGCTGTGCCAGCTGGGCTAGAGTGTCCCCTGCTCATACCAGCTAACCATTCTGTTAGTATTTAAGATACTAGGGGGTGGTGCCCGCTAGCTACTCACTACGGTTGCCAACCTTCCTTCTCTGGAGTAGGCAGCTTCAGCTGCCCCCAACCCATTCACTGAGAGGGCCAAGCTGAGCTGTGGCAGCCCTGTCCTGCCCCGGCTCTCTCCCTGCCAGCCATCAGGCCCCACCCCGCCACCAGGCTCCTCGCAGCATTTCAAAGCGGCAGTACCGCACGGAGCTTAGGATCAGTAGGGGAGTCACCAGCTGATCCTGGGCTCCACACAGGGTTGCCACTTTGAAGTACCCTCTTCTCTTCCCCTTGTACTTGCTGCCTCTTACAGCAAGGGGGCAGGGAGGGGAAGAGAGCAACTAGTTGACTAGCCTGTTGACTATCCAATAAGCATTTGCTTATCAGATAGTGAACTAGTCCTTCACATCCCTAGTAGTAAGAGCAATGCGCAAGCTAGAACTGCTTAGTCACAGCTTGCACTAGGTCCCAGACCACTGCAGTTCCGCCTTGTAAATGTAGTAAAAGCCACTTGGCTGTTACTACATTTAAAAGGCAGAGCCGCAGCCGTGGACCTACCCCAGACTTAAACCTGCTGCAGCTCTGCTGTTTAAATGTAGTAGGACCTGGGCTGCCTGAACACCCAGCTCCTACTACAATTAAACGGGAGAGCCGCAGCTTATCGACTAATCATGTACTCAATACAAATTGTATTGAGTACATGATTAGTCAATTACCTGCTTCGTAACATCCTTAGCAGAAACCACCCTTACAGAAACAGCAAGATGCCTCCCTCACTCTTCTCTGGCACAAGTCATTGCTTGCCCATCACTCCCATCACCCTCTGTCCTCTCAGACACTCCTTCTGCAGACACTGCTTCCCCCCCCCAACACCGAATGCAGATCAAACTCTCTTCCTCTTTGGACAGGAGGAGAGCCTGCCAAACTCAGAAACCCAACCCAACAGGAGCAGCATCAGGAATTTACCTTTCGCCTCACGCTCCTCACACCACACCCATCCCCAGAATACTGATTTTTCTGAGGAAAAAGTTACCTTTCAAATAAGCCAAGGTTCCTCTAAAGCAGTGGTCCCCAACACGGTGCCCACAGGTGTCATGGCACCCACCGGTGCATTTAAGTGCACCCGCAGAATGATCTAGGCCGGCCCCAACCCCCGAGCGCGCAGCAGCCCTGAAAGGTTGCGGACCACTGTTCTAAAGTACACAATACAAAACAGTACACTTAATAAAAGCTAACCCAGCAACAACATAGGGGAAAAAAAACATCCTGCACAATCCACTTCCCTGCTGCATGCTAAAATCCATATCAATGGCAAAGGCAAGGTGAACTTCTAGGCGCTTAAGAGAAGCTTTACATTGCATTGGAGAAGCTTTACAGTACATTATTTTTGAGTGGAGTTACGGAAAAAAAAATCTAATTTTGCAAGTTCAGCTTTTATGATAAAGAGATTACACTAGTTCTTGTATGAGGTGAACTGAAATACTAATGATTTTGTTTATATGTTTTACAGTGCAAATATTTATAATAAAAAATAATATCAAGTAAGCCATGCTTATTTTGTGTTGCTACTAAAATATTTAGGAAAGTAGAAAACATCAAAAAATATAGTAATAAAATGGCATTCTATTACTCGTGAACAGTGTGATTGTGATTAGTGTGTTTAATCATTTTGCCAACTTTTTTTGCTAATTATGAGAGTTGTCTTCTGCTTATTTGACTGATCAGTTACACTCATTTTATAACAATTTTTCCCTTTACAAAAATGTTACCTCAGCTGTACGAGGAGCATCCATATCCAATTCTCTCCAGGAATGCTCGATCTCTGGCTCCTTTGGAAATATTTCAGACATATCATCTTCTTCTTCCTCTTCAGAGCTGGTTTCAATATTTCCTTTCCCCCTAGCCAGATCAGGCCCACTGTCATCTTCTTCTGAATCATCACTATCTTCCTCTCCTGTTTCTGCTTCATCTCCTGACTCTTCTTCCTCTCCTGTTTCTGCATCAGCTTTAGATTCTGCATAAACAAAATAATTTTATATTTTTAGAAATTTCATCTAACTGTTTTTGCTGATGTTACTTGGTTCATATGCAATAGCAGCCTTATTCATTGAAAAGGCACATAATAGCTTTAATATTACTTGTGTGTGTATGCAGTTCCATTAGTATATATGGTGCTTTATGAAGAAAATGATAACTTGATTCCTGTTGCAAGAAGTTTACAGTCTAAGTTACTACTATGTTTATTTTACACTAACTTATGAATTTGTTATGTATATATGACACCTGGAGAAATTACATCAGGCAATAGAATACCATAAACACTGAGTCACTGCAGAGGAGAGTCTTTTTGATTTCTATATTCCAAACTAGCAGAAATACCCAGCATTGCCCAGGGAAACTACATTAATTACATTAAAACCGCATATTGTATTGGAAATACTTTAAGAAATTAACATAACTTAGTTTGTAGCAAGAGGGAAAGGATCTCGTAGTTGCAGTTTATGTGACATGCTTAACAGAACAGTCCAGCAAATGCCGATGATCAGGCGCTACTATAAACTAATTATCAGTGGGCCCAATTGGGACTCTGGGGGAAACCGGGAGAACCAATTTTGAGATATAACCAATCCAGTTATTTAAGTTAGGAAATCAGTAGTTATCCGTTCAAAATTTTGTGTTTCTAGCTCTGACCATTTCAGAGATCTTTTGGGTCAAACAAACAAATTTTCGGAAATATTTATGAGATAATTAAATTTGAAAAATGAATTAAATAAGAATATCATGACCCAAGAAGCTCTTCATGGCAACTGACAAGGGACTTCAGAAACTTCCTATTCTGGTATGTACATTCTGGGTTCACTAAAGAATGTCACAGGGTCTTAAAGTATCTCAGCCTGGTAATTTAGTAATTCTGTGAGCATTCTGTAGATAATGGATATTGCAGGGAACACCACGAAGACGTGGTACTAATGTGTACTATCATGACTCATACAGGGTATGTCTACACTGCAGAGCTTTTTCGGAAAAATGTCTATTTTTCCGAAAAAACATCACTTACGTCCACTCTGTAATTGCATTCTTTTGAAAAAAAAAAGAAAAGCGGGGTTTTTATGACATTGGTAAACCACTTTCTACAAGGAAGAGAGTTCTTTTTGAAAAAGGCGTGTGTGGGCGGGAAAGAAGTTCTTTCAAAAGAAGAGGAAAGAGGAAAAAGCACAGGTGCCCTAGTGGCCACTCCGCCCATAGCAATCACAGCTTACACATTCAGTGTGGACGCTATCTTTCGAAAAAGCAGATCACTTTTTCAATGCACTTCTGCTATGTAAATGCTCTCTTTCAGAAGTTCTCAGAATATCTCTTCCGGAAAAGCTTCTTCTGAAAGAAGCCTGTAGTCTAAACATAACCACAGAGAGGGTATAGCCTGCAGAGGCCTGGAAGTCAATTACTGTGTTGCCAGAGGCTGATGGATTCAGGGAGCTGAAGACAAGGCCAGGCGGCGATGAGAAGAAACCTGCACAGACAAAAAATTTTGTATCCACAGCCGCAAAAACGAGCCACAGATATCAGTGTCCACATCTGAGGATGCAGATACTCATGGATAAAGCAGATATCCGCGGATTTGCAAGCCTCTCGTGATGGGGTGGTTCAGAACCCAAGGTGACTCTGGGGACGATCACAAAAATTGTAACAGGATACTGAGAATCTTTATTAAACTAACTGAGTTGTAGTTATATCTTCTCTCAGATGAACAGAATCAGAATTTAACTGTCTTAAAGGCCCAATACTCCTAAAGAAGTTTTTCCCTTATCTCAAGAAATGGGTGAGCATCTGTGCTACTAAAGCAGAAGAATCAGAATTACAATTACAAAGCATCATGGCTACAACATGCAGCATAGTGTCATAAGGACAACCACAACATTCTTGGTGGCTATAGAGCTGTTACAATAATAATTCAGAGAGTCTGACCAGGTGAAAATCAACCATCCTGTCTACTGACTCTTCACTGTTATTTCATTCTAACATACTTTTGGCAAACATTTTGAAAGCACATCATATTTTCTCTCTGACTCTTGAATCAAGAAGTGTTTAACTGCTTTACTATTTAGTAACAACTGGGGAGCAATGCCCCCTGCTCGCTATACTTGCCAACTCCCCATCTCTGGGGATAGGCAGGGCTGGCTCTCCCCCCAGCCACTGGGGCAGACCAGGGCCACTCCACACCCAGCCTCTCACGTTTCCCTCCCCCCCACGCCACTCAGCTTCATCCTGGCCTCTCAGCCCTGGGCCCCCACCCTGCTCCTCAGTCGCAGCCCCAGTCTTTCGCCCCCCTCAGGCCGCTGGAGGAGGGCCGGGGAGGAAACAGAAGACAGTGGGGGGTAGCAGCAGTGGCTCTTCACTGCACTCCAGGATAAGGATGTTAGGACTAGCTAACTATCCGATAAGCAAAGGATAGTCGACTAGTTGATTCTCTCCCCCTCTCCCTCGACACTGCCTCCATCAGATAGAGGCAGCAAAGTGGGGGGTGGGGACAGGGGGTACCTCAAAATGGCAACGGCGCTGCCCCTTTGAAATGCTAAGGTGGTGTTTCAATACAGCAGCCCCGCATACAGCCCGGGGTGAGCCGGGGACTCCCCAGCTGATCCCAAACCCCGCGCGGCATTTCCACGGAACCCAGAATCAACTAGGGAGTCCCCAGTTGACCCCGGGTTCTGGAGAAATGCAGCACAGAACCCGTGGTCAGCTGATTTTACGTATTTCAAATGGGCAGCGCTGCATGAAGCCCGGGGCCAGCGGGGGACTCTGAGTCCCCTGTTGACCCCAGGCTCCATGCTGCACTTCTGCTTTGAAATGCACAAGAGCCCCCGCTGGGAACTCTTAAACAGTTCAAAGCTGGCACACTGCAAGCAGCTCAGAGTCAGGGGGACTTCCCGGGAGGAATGGAGTTCCACATTCCTCCTTAGAAAGGTACTCTTTCAAATAGGGGCTCTTGTACCTTTCAAAGGAGGAATGCAGAAGTGCCAATCGACTAGTCGATGGAAATTCGATCAACTACTCAACAAGTAAAATAACCAATAGTTAACATCCCTACTCCGGGAACCTGACGCTTCAGGATCCAGCGGGGAACTGCTGCCTCCACATGGGCAGCGCTCAGGCTGCAGCCTACCTGGTGCTCCAGCCTTGAACTCCCCTTCCCCCCCCACAAGATTACAGCACCAGCTTCCTACGGGGAGGGGTAAGAGGAGGAAATCCTGAGCCTCCACACTGGATTTGCCTTGTGGGGAAGCACATGTGCTGCTGTGGGGAAAAGAAGGGAGGAGCGGGATAGTGAGGGGAAGAGCCAGGGCCCAGAGACCCTTGACCCACAGCCCACACCCATCCTTCCATCCCTACCTCCACCTCCATCCCTACAACTACCATCCTCCCTAACCCTTCCCCCTCCACACACTGCCCATCCCCAACCTCACGCCTGCCTCCATTCCTACATCCACCCATCCTCCCTACCGCTATTCCTGCCCACACTGCCTATCCCCATCCGCCATTCCTACACCCTCATCCTTCCCTAACCCCTCTCCCTCCACAATGCCCACTCCCTCGCCTCCATTGCTATATCCTCCTCACCTCGCTATCCCCCATTACTGTATTACCCAACCCCATACACCCGCCTCCCTCAGTTCTTCTCAAGCGGCTCCCAGCTGCAACTCAAGGCACCTAGGAATGAGAGGACAGCGGGAGACTGCAGAGTGGCTGCAACACATGGAATCACCCAGCCCAGTCTGCTCCGAAGCAGTCCAATGCACCCCGGGACCGACAGTGCTGTTTTCCGCTCCCCTCCCCCCACCGCAGCCCTGCTTCTCCACTCACTCCTCCCTTCCTCACAGCAGCACATATGCTTCCCCACAAGGCAAATCCAGGGGAGGCCACATGGCTTGCGGCTCCTCAGACCACAAAGTAAGTCAGAAAGAGGGGACGCAGAGGAACGCCGCAGAAAAAGTTTTCTTTAATATATAGAGAGAAGAGATATGTAACTTGTTCCAAAAAGCTTTGAATATTTTAAATTTTTCCTTCCTCATGTCTCAATATCAGGATAGTTTTAATTTTAAATCAGAGAACACACATATTCAAACACAGGACATTACAGGCAGTCCCCGGGTTACGTACAAGATAGGGACTGTAGGTTTGTTCTTAAGTTGAATCTGTATGTAAGTCGGAACTGGCGTCCAGATTCAGCCGCTACTGAAACTGACCAGCAGCTGACTACAGGAAGCCAGAGACAGAGTTGCTCTGCCCCGGGCTTCCTGGAATCAGCCTCTGATCAGTTTCAACAGGCTGAATCTGAACGCCAGTTCCGACTTACATACAGATTCAACTTAAGAACCCCAGGCGTCCCCAAGTCAGCTGCTGCTGAAACTGATCAGCGGCGGCTGAATCAGGACACCTGGGGCAGAGCAGCTGGGGTGCTGCCGGGTTGGTCCAGTAGCGCCCAGAGCGGTGCTGCGGGACCAACCGGCAGCACCCCAGCTGCTCTGCCACAGGTGTCTGGAGAAAAGCCTAGTCTGCTGGGGGGGGGGGGCGTTATAGCTG